TAACTATTGGGCTACTAACTGCAAAGGTAGCAGTTTAAAACTACCAGCTCCTCCATAGCAGAAAGATGAGGCTGTCTGCTCCCATAAAGAGCTGGGGTCTTGGGGATCTCCAGAAGCAGTTCTGTTCTGCCCTGTAGGGTTGCTGTGAGTTAGAATCTCCTTGATGGAAGTGGATTTGGTTTGAGGAGCCCTAGTAATGTATGGATCCAGCTGCTAACTGCTAGATCAGCAGTTTAAAACCAACAGCTGCTCTGTGGGGAAAGAAGGGGCTTTCTGCTGCCATCCACAGGTAGTCTTGGAAACTCACAGGGCAGTTCTGCCTTTTGGCTTTTAGTTTTATTCATTTGACTAATATTCATTCTATACCAAGTGGGAAAAGGCCTTGTGATCTACTTCTGGAAATCGGCCATTGAAAACCCAATGGAGCACAGCTCTACTCTGACACACGTGGGTGTTCATGAGTTGGAATCAACTCGTTAATTTTTTTGTTTTATTTTTTGTTGGGTTAGAGTACTAAACAAGACAGGTGATTCTCACCTTCATGAAACTTACTCTGTACTGGATAGGATTGTTCACTGAACTTGTACTTAGAGCAATGAATTTAATGATAGAGAAAACAAAAAGGCAAATAAGTATGCATCGGAGTCCCTGATTAATGCAAACCGTGAACACATTCAGAGCTAAATGAAGAGTTGGAGGTTCAATCCACCTAGAGGTGCCTCAGGAAAAGGCCTGGTGGTCTCTTTGTGGGGGAAAAAATAGTCATTGAGAACACTAGTCAACCTAGTTTTACGGTCACACATGAGAGTTGCCCTGAGTTTAATGGCAACTTGTTTCAAGGATAGACATCAAGGTGCTGTCAAGAAAGGGCTCCCTGATCAAATCAAGCTAAGAATTGAAAGAGTGCACAGATGAGTGTAGGCAAATTATTGGCTTCTTTGTACCTCATGTAAAATGTAAATATTAAATGAAAACAAACCATGAATTCATTGATGCATGTGAAGCACGTACAACAGTGTCTGGCACTGGTATGGGCTGCTGCTTTGTTCCTCATCATCAATCACTCCTGTTTTCAGTCATTCAAATGAATCCTGAGCATTTTCTAACTACTAGATATTTTGGTGAGGTTCAGAAATTGAAAGGATAACATCTATCCTCAAGGAACTCAAGGTGTATGTACAAGTAGCTTAAGGGGGAAAAGGTGAAGAATGATAAAGGACCGTAAGAGAGTTATGAGGCATTTCTGGGTAGGAGCAGTTCTTTCTCTCTGGGAGTTGTGTGTGATTTGTGCCACTTGTTTGGCAAATAATCACATCTGCTGGTACAATATATGTTTCTATATTCTTAGTTACCTTTTAAGGTTTTCAGTTGTCCAGGATTTGGTATTACTTGGATCCACAATCAAATGATGCACTGAGCAGATATGCCGCACAAGACCTTTTTTGACATGTTCAAACAAACAAAATGTAACTTTGAGGATGAAGGCACACCTAACTGAAGCCATGATATTTCCAGTTGCCTCACATGCGTATGAAAGCTGGCAGCAAGTAAGAAAGACTGCAGAAGATTGATGGTACTTTTAAATTATGGGGTTGGTAAAGAAAGTTGAATATAGAAAGGACTGTCTTGGACTGCCAGAAGAATGAATCAATCTGTTGTGGAAGAAGTACAGCCAGAATGCTCCTTCGATATCAGGATGATGAAACTTTATCTCACATATTTTGGACATGTTATCAGGACGAACCAATCTGGAGAAGGACATCATGCTCAGTAAATGGTCAACTTTCAAAAAGCCAGTGAAAAAGAAAACCTTCAGCATCATCGGCCTCAAGCATAACAGTGTGAGGGTGGCACCGCACTGGGTTCTACTGTATACAGGTTCCTATGAATCAGAACCAACTGGGTGGCACCTAACAATAGCACAGACCTTTACTTACCACTGAGAATTTCCATAAAATGAGAGTGTATGTTTCTCCAAATGATGTACAATAGTCACGGAGCTCTCTATAGTGATGTATGTGTTGTTTTGAGAACCTATAAGTACTGCTTTAAAAAGAAAACAAAAAGCCTTGTAACTGCTGGAGATTTATATTATTGTAGTAAAAAAATCTGTATTTTTAAAATCGTTTTATTAAGGGCTCATATAACTCTTATCACAATCCATACATACATCAACTGTTTAAAGCACATTTGTACGTTCATTGCCCTTATTATTCTCAAAACATTTCCTCTCCACTTAAGCCCCTGGCATCAGCTCCTCATTTTTCCCCCTCCCTCCCCACTCCCCCTTCCCTCATAAACCCTTGATAATTTATAAAT